CCTGGACAGACGGGCTCACAGGTAAACCAACACCGCCGTCTCACCTCAGTGGACGGTACCGCTCACCGCTGACGGCTCTGTGACGGTGTCTTGTTTTGGCAGGGGGAGGAGCACGCGGCCTTTGACATGGGGGGGTACGAGGACTACCTGAGGGAGCAGGTGGGCGACCGGTGGTTCCGGTACAACCCTCGTCTCACCTGCATTTACTGCTGTAAGTCCTTCAACCAGAAGGGGAGTCTGGACCGACACATGCGGCTCCACATGGGAATCACGCCGTTCGTCTGCCGTATCTGTGGGAAGAAGTACACCCGCAAGGACCAGCTGGAATACCACATCCGCAAGCACACGGGCAACAAGCCCTTCCACTGCAACGTCTGCGGGAAGAGCTTCCCCTTCCAGGCCATCCTCAACCAGCACTTCCGCAAGAACCACCCCGGCTGTGCTCCGCAGGAGGCTCACAGCGCGTCCCCGGAGACCACCACCACCTCCGTCACCTCCAGGGGCGGTGCCAGCCACGAGGCCTCGCCCAGCCAGGAGGAGCCCGAGGCCACGCCCGCCGGTGTTGGAGTCGGAGGAGGGCAGTACTCCGAAGGTCCTCAGGCCTCCGTCTCCACCACTGGGCCCGACTGACCCACACAGGGTCCTGGTCTGGGTCCTGGTCTGGGTCTGGGTCCTGGTCTGGGTGTTGGGTGTTGGGTGTTGGGTTCCAGCCCAGAATCTGAACTGAGATTTCTCTCTGCTTTAAACCGCATCTACCTTCAGGAACCAAACGGAACTGATAACGCTTAAGATGGAAGAAAAGGCCACACAACCACCTCAGACAGCAGGGGGCGTCCTCCTGCCCCCGCCGCTCCTCCTGTTACAGTGAAGCTCAGCCAAACTCCTCAGTGCCAGTCTCTCCTCACTCTCACAAAGTCCAAACTTCAGATTCTGCCTTCTGACAATCCACTGCAGGGTTCAACACGTCCTGTTTTAACAGAACACCACGGCGCGGAGAACAGAGACCGAAGGTACGCTGTGATCAGAGTTCATCCTCCGTTTAAGTCTGTTCAACTCACCCCTAGCTAACATTTAGCTGCGAGGGGGCTAGAAGAGCTAAATATATATTTAGAAAAAAAACAGCAGTAATACAAATACATACATTTAAACCAAAGTAGTAAAAAGTATCAGAAAAGTATTTCCGACAGAATAACGGAAGATTCAGCCGAGGTCTAGCTAACATTTAGTTTGTAGCTAGGAGTTTGTCCAGGAAAGAGCTGGAAAACAACGGCTAACGGTTGGACAAAGTACAGCAGCAGCTACATCCATTTGCCCCTGACGGGGGCAGCGGGGTAGTCTCCACGTTGACCTGGAGGTCTTCAAAAAGACCCCATGTTAGCTTAGCATTTAGAGGTTTAAAAGATCTGGAAGTATTGCATCAGTAACTCTGATCACACTGGACCCTGTGTCTGTTGTCCCCCGTCTGAGACCAGGTCTGCGTCAGTCCAGACCACGGTCCAGCACAGACTGGCAGCAGGAAAAATCAACTCAAACCTCAGATAAGCTACAGCTCACTTACCTCTCATCACTACGCAATACAGCTGCTGCTGCAGTACAGCACAGCACCGCCGGGGGGCGCTCTGACCCACTCACTCACAGAACGCCGTCAGTCTTCTCAGAGACTTTTCTACACAGGAAGCATGTCTCCTGTCACTTCTTCTCTCTGTGTTTTTTTTTTTTTGGTTTTTGACTTTTTGACACTTTTTTGCTCTGACAATTTATGAGATGGAAAAATATTGACGTCCGATGGATTATAATCAATACCTTACAATCGATACCTGATCCATATCGAAAGTGATGCATTAAATCTCCTGCTCTGGCCAAGTCGGTTCGTTTGGCTCCCAGCCTTCGTACTAGATGTGACTAAAAACGAGCTCGTCACCAGAGGGCAGTAGACGTAGACGCCGGTTAGTTAAGGTGAATTAGTTGGGTTTGAAGCTCAAACATTTATGGTTAACGAGAAAGATTTAAGATCTTAATTTACATGATGACGTTAGCAATAATTCACTTTATTACTGCAATGGAGCTAGCCTGATAAGCTAACATGCTATTAGCTTTCCCAAATTATTGAAGTTTATTTGAGCACCGATGGATGAATCGGTTTAAATCGAGAATGTGCAGTAGATTTAATGAATCCTTAATGACTGAGATCTCACAGAGACAGGACCCGGACCCGGTCCCGGACCAGGACCAGGACCAGGTCAGACCAGATGGATGTAGTTGCCAGACCATATATGTTGAATGGATCTGGCCTCCAAAGGAAAGATTTGGCCAATGTTGGCAGCACCAAAACAACGTGAGCACTTATCAGGGAGGGACAGGTCAGAGATGGAACTGTTTTATATATATATATATATATAAAAAGAAATCTGAAAAACCGCTCTATTATCAAACATATTAAAGGACTACGATCAATAAGGTTAGCAAGTTCCTTCCCACGTACCACACAGGTAGGAACTCTTTTTCTACACAGCTGTGAATAACTTTCTCAGTGGATTTTTATGCAAGTCATGCTAGCCACCTCTGTCCTCACTCCGGCTGGCTAAGACTCCAGAATCTGACCAGAATGCACTGCTGCTACTGCTGCTGCCGCCTCTACGCTGCAGCTGCCGTACTCCCTCTTCAGGCTAAACCAGGAACTATCAGGTATTCAGACTGTTTCCATTCATTTATTCATGCGGACTTTTACCTTTTCCAACGTAGCAGGACGCTAACAACTAAACCTCAGTGTAAATAAACATCGACAAAAAAAAAAAAAAAAGAGTCAGCGAGCGATGAAGAACTACGAGCTGGGCAACATGAAAACTTTTGCTGTCATAAATTCTGAACTATGTTTTCACAAAAGTGGATCAGACAGTACTGTACGACTGAACTGGTCCAAAACCTGGTCAACCCGGTCACTAGTACCAAGTCCTTGGAAAAGTACGTGTCAGGAACGTTTGTTTTCTTTAGCTCCATCAGAGCTAACACTGAGAACGACGAGCTTGGATAAGTTAACACTGGGTCCACGTCCTGTTGTTTGTAGATACCTTGTACCTTATAGTTAGCTTATAGTTATATGACAAATATTATTAGCTTTAAGCTAGTTTATAATTTACTTGCACAGCTTTGAGAACTGTCTAAAACAGGAGTGTTCTGATTAGCTGATATTTATCTCAGAGGCAGCGTATTTTAGAAAAAAAACTGAAAAGTGACCTTGGGGTTAGCATGTGGCTATCTTACAGTAACACTGTAGCCAAACTGTATTGGGTTTACAGTAAAAGTTTGGGTTTAACTTGGATTTTGCTTTGGTATAGTTAGCTTACAGCTATTGATACAAGCAGCTGTCTAACAGTTAGCTTGTGTTTAGATATGTACAGTTGAATGAAAAACACTTGCTAGGCTAACTATATGTTACAGTTAGCTTCAGTGGAACTAATGATTACAATTAGTGTACGGTTGGTTTACAGTTAACTGCTTGTGGTTAGCATGTAGTGAATCACAGTCACTTGACATTAGCTTAATGTCACTTCTAGTAAATTCCAAACTTAATTGCTAACTGTTGTCTTTCACCTAATCTTTGTTGGAAACCAGTTGCTTTTGCCAAAAGCTGTAAGCTACTTATGCGCTAATGTGACTGGGCCGTTGCCTGTCATACAGCAGGTCAAAGGTCGTGAGTCATCGGCTGTAAAAACTGGGCCTAAGGACAATGTGAAGCCAAGCTATTGTGCCCCCTGGTGGCTTCAAAAAGCAAAACGTAATTTGAATGTTACCATGTGACTTTTTTGCATTTGGTTTTTAACCTTTGAAAGGAACGTGGTACTGTTTGTTACCAGGCCTTTTTAATCAGATCTCATTTTTACCCTGTTCTTTTGTTTTTGTTTGTTTGTTTATAAAAAGTTTTTTACTCGTTTTTTACCTGATTTGCACAGACAGAGAAGTTGCTGTAGGTTTTTCACAGCTGTAGAAAGTGTAAAAAGTCAGAATGTTGCCCAGCTCTGAAAAACTCTTCATCACTGCAGACACGAAGACTGGAGTCGGTGGTTCATGGAACTGTTGCCAGAAGAACTTTAATCATTAGGAACAAATGCTTTTCTGCTTTTGTTTATTTAAGGAAGAAATATTTCATTAATCATTGTCAACTGAAGGCTCGTGGTCCGGTCCATGCTGCTTCAAACCAGTATGAACCGGTCGACAGCAGATCCTGGTTAAGTCACAGTTGTTTTTTCTACGATCAGAAAAATCAGGATCAACTGAGTCTTTGGGTCCTAACTGGTTTGATCCAGTTTGGACCGGTCCAGTCGTTGAAGTGAACTGGTGTGAAATGACCTCAACTGATTGTCCACACTGTTTTAGACCAGCGTGAATACGTGAGGATTCGATTCAGTTTATCATGAACTGGTTTAAAGCGGTCTGGACCAGTGTGTCCTGTTAAAGGCCACTGCTGGTCCAGGTGGTCACGGCACCTGGTGCACCTCTGTACAGTGAAAAGGCAAAAAAGGGAACAGTTGGATCAGACGAAACCAGATTTGATTCCAGACGGAGTCGGACGGTGTAGAACCAGAGCAGCCAGAGTTGATCCCACTCTTCCTCGTTGTGAAAACTGTGAAAACATCCTGGTCTTCAGCACAGGTACGGATGACGACGACGACTCCGCCGACGCCGCCGTCCAAAATGTGAAGATGCTCCTTCCACTATGACCACTATCACTCACTGGTCACATGACCGACACTGGTCACATGTCCATCACAAAAAAATGAATTGGTAAAGAAAAGATGAAAGGAATAAAGCACTTGAAGTGTGAACCTGAGACGAGTCCAGTTTTCTTTTTTCACCAGACCAGTTTACACACACACACACACACACTGTGGTTTTTTGCTGGAAGGCAGCAGCTGTAAACACTGCTCCACTGTATGGCCTTCCTGTTACTGCGTTTGATTAGTACTGAGTACTTTATAATCCCTGAAAAAACACCAGAGTTCTTATGGTGGGAGAAAATTGTATTTGTAAGACAGAACCATATTTACATGAGTCAGATCAGAACTTATGTGGTTACACAAACCGGTACCAGGGACCGTGTTCTTTGTTCTCCGCTAGACGCTGGTCTACAGTTACCAGGTGACAGAGAACGGGTGGAGACGACTTCTCGTTGGTCGAGGTTGAGTCCGTTGTGGGCTGCGGGGTCCACGCCGGCCGGTCATTGGCCACAGGGGTCGGCCACTCGGCCGGTGAACAGCAGCGTGTTGATGGTGGACTCCCTGATGACCAGCAGGAACGGACGGTTGGCCAGGAAGACCTGACGGTCCAGGTTCAGGGAGCGTCCGATGGCGACCACGGCCGTGGAGGCCGCCGCCTCGCTGCCTTCCTCATTCACCTGCAGACCCAGAAACACAACAGTCAAGACACAGAACCAGAACCAGGGACCTGATCTGTCCTCCCATCAGGAACCGATTTACCTCCAGAAAAGCCTTGTGGTAGGCGTCTGAGATGAAGAGACCGTCGCTGCCGTCCTCCAGCATCCCTGAAACGACAGACAGGTCCAGAGCGGCTCGGACTTGACCTCAGCTCAGGTGGACTTAGGTGGATCACGTTACCTGGCAGACTGGCCTGGTCTGGACTGAAGAGGTGGGTCAGACCCATGGCCTGCAGCTCCTTCTTCAGGGCGAAACTGTCGTCCAGTCTGAATCGAGGGACCTGCACCGTCACACTGGTCTCCTGCATGTTCCTGAACCAGTGGTTGAGTTTGTCCAGGTCCAAAATGGCCTCCACCTGCAGTCACACGGGACATCACTGTGGTGCAGCACCGACCGGCGGTCAGTGGTCAGAGACTGGACCTACCTGACTGAGGGCCACTCCTTTGCTGGGCAGAATGATGACCATGGTGATGTCGTCTCCGCGGTACGGCATCTCCAGCACCTGGACCTGATCCTCCGGGAAATACTTGTACCTGAATCGGTTCTCCTGGTACATCATGCTGACTGGGCAGGTTCTGCTGGTGCTGACGTGGAAATCCTCCTGAAACACGTTGTCGTTGTTGAACTTGTTTTTCCACTGACCCTGAAAGACACAGTGGGTACCAGTGGACAAGTTAGGATCCAGAGCAGGTTCTGGGTTCTGGTAGTACCAGAATACCAGTTCAAGATTTGCCTTCAGAACAACTACAAGAATAGAGAGAGGAGGCTCCGGTTGGACCTCAGTCTGGGACCTTGAAGTAGATGGTGTTGACCAGGACCAGAACAGTGGTGGAGTCCAGAGCTCCTTCTGGCAGCGTGTCCTGGATTCGGTTCTCAGTCTTATTGGCGATCCAGTTGTTGATGGTGGTCCGGGCCTTGTTGGGGTCCACCTGCAGCACAGACCTGGGTTACTGCGGATAATGGAGCCCCCAGTGGTCAGAGTACTGGACAGGACGTTACCTTGAAATTCAGAGGAAGCAGTTTGGCTCCGTACACCGTCTCGCTGATGTTCTGATAGGTCTCGTTGAAGACCAGGGACTTGTCTCCGAAGAGCCTGTTGGCGGAGACCAGCTCGCTGGTGGCGCCCTTCTTCCTGTACAGACGACAGTTGAGTTTGGCGAAGAAGAAGTGAACCTGGTCCGACGTCTTTTCTTTGATGGTGTCAAACTGAAAGACCTGCAGAGACAGAGACAGACGGTGAGGACAGACAAGTTTGACATGACAAGCTAGCCTTTAGCTCGCTCCTTATTTGGAGGTTCTTTCAGACCTCCATAATCTGCCGCAACGTCTCGTTGCAAGCTCCAAGTTTGGTCATGGCGAAGGCAGTGGAGACACTGATGGGGGACATGAAGATGTTGGACTCCGCTGTCTTACTGACAACCAGCTGTTTGTAAAGTGACAGGGCGAAGCGACTGTTGGCCTTCGACAGCTCCCAGACCCGGGGGTTGGTGGACTCTGGAACCGGCTCGCCTCGTGTGGTGGAAGCCTCGGTGTCGAGGTCATCGGACTCAGGGCTGCGAAAGATGCAGCGCGGCTCCAGAGCCAGGTCTTTGGGCTTGGCGTTGCAGATATCCTGATTGAAGGCGAGGGAGGCAAGTGGCAAGAGCGCCACAGCTAACAACCAATCAGCAGCTCTCATTCTGGTGACACTGAAGACGACAAAAAAACAGAAAATATGGAACTTTATATGGAACATAAAATCCCAATGAAAATACCATCATGTTAATCACAGATTTAAAACCATGTGACCTGTGAGTTGTTTCCATTTGCTGCCACCTGTGGCCCGTTTCTGTCAATGCAGTAAACCTAATGGAATGATTTTGAACGGTAGATTTTGAACGGTAAAAGCAGCAGGAAGTGAAGTGAAGTGAAGTGAAGTGTGAGAGTGTCTGCCTCACTGACCTCACTCCTGTTTTACTCCTTAAAAATAATTCAGGATTAGAAATACTCAATGCTGCGTCAACAAGAACAGATTTGGTTCTGACTTTAGAGAGTCCACAACTCCACAACAAAACCACTCACCCACCGCTGAGTCCGTGGACACGTCCTTCCAACAGTTCATCACTAAGTTTAGATCTGTTACTGCCGTGTTTTACAGTTTAAAATCCTGTTTAGATTTGTTTCAGTGACACACACTGACCACAGGAGGCAGCAGTTGACATGAAACTCCTGTGTCGCTGTGAGATAAAATGAGTGATTTTTTCTCCAAGAATGTTGGCGTCGGCTGCATTCATACGACTCCACTAACACAGTGACAGGTTGGTACCAGAGCGTAGAAGAAGAGTCAAAGTCTGCTAAAGAAAAGTTAAAACTACTGAAGTTAAGTTTCTTTACCTGAGCAGGTTAACAGCGGTGTGTTTAGCCGAGTCGTTCTTTGTAGAACTCAGGTCAGTGTCCAGCAGAACGCACAGTCATCGTACTGACCTTTGAATCATTGATCATCTGTACGTCAACAGACAAACAGTGTCATTTGATCAGTTCACCTGATGGTCTGAGGGCAGCGCTATAACAACCACACACACATGTGAAGCAGGATTTGAGCTTTTATCCTGGACAAAACAAGCGTCAGTTTGTAGGTTACTGCCCTGCTTCAGGGCTGAGTCAGGGTTGATTTGTCCTGTCTCTGCTGTTAACTAGTTTAAACACTGGGTTCATCAGTACAGACGTTCCTTTACAGACACTGAGTCAGTGTGAACGTGTTTGTTAACGTAACAGTCGGTATTCTTTCATCCTGGGATCTCCACTCTCACCACAGTCAGAAGTAAAAGCTACCGTTTGAAACCAACACGATGTTCTTCTTGTCGTTTGTTCTACTCGAGTTCATTTCTACCTCTGAAATCAGTACTTGTGTATTTTCTGTGGTGGCGCTGCTGAAACTTGAATCTGTCATTTACACACGAAGAAGAGACGCCACAACTGGAGCTGTCTCGCCATTTGTCAGTCTGGCAAAGACAGAGCTTCCTATTGGCTGGCAGCACAACCGCGCCAGTGAGGCGGAGAAACAGCGGCACAGTCAAACTGCTTCGACAGGGTTTTATTTACCGCGACGAGAAATAGAGTCACGTAAAAGCCATTAACTTGAACCGAACTCCGGATTATGTTTGTGGGGTTTTAATTGAACGCGCGGTTCTGTCCCTTGACGTTTTTATTTGATTCCAGCGCTGAAGCTAACAAAGCTAACCGTCGAAGCGAATAGCAGCAAGTTAACGAGGCTCTGTGACGTCAGCGGGTTTTCTCAGCTGGGCTGACAAGGCCCAGGTACTGCTGTGCCGGTCAAGGTGGGATGAGCTGCCCGGTGAAGCTCCATGCTCTGCCGGCAGGACTGTTAGAGGAGGTATTTACCCCGGAGACGGTGACTGGGAGGTGGGTGTAAAATAACAATAATAGTAACAGAGCGATAGATGTACTTTAGTCCCGGGTTCGACTCCAACTCCAGCAGGTGTTGGTCGTTTGACTAAGACTATAATCAGGTTTAAACGATCCTTCATTCTCACTGTCGTTCTGTAGAATCTCCACCAACATGCTGAGGTTCCCCAAGTCCAGATCAGCTCTGTGGGACTGCAGTCCGGCAGGAGACCAGCTCCGCCTGCAGCTCTGCTCACGCAGGTAAACGGCAGAGCAGGGGGCGCCACTGAGCTTTATTAGTGACACTTCGCCAGTGGATTTCAGAACATTCCTCCAGAAAAAAACGTGTTTGTGTTGCGTGTGTGTTTAGGAACCCGCGGCTGCGTCTCTCAGAGAAAGCTCTTCGTCTGGCCCAGCGTCATGTCCGTCACACCAACAAGCCCCGCCTCCACTGCTTCTTCCTTGGATCGGTGTCCGTGGACTCCGGTACTGTACATGACTGATCAAACCAATGTAAAAACGGTTATAGCTGTGGACGGTCCCAAGTCTGTGACGTCACAGATGTTTGATCTGTTTGATCTCAGTTCTGTGGACCTGTGTGCTGTTCTTCTACCTCTTGTGTTTACTGTATTTTGACTGACATCTGTGTTGGGCAGATGAGGAGGGGCTCACGGTCAGCCTGGACCGGTTTGACCCAGGTCGGGACCAGAAGGGATCCTCCGCTCGTGCTCCCTCTGCTCCTCTCCCTGGAGACGTCCTGGTTCCCTGTGTGTTCTCCACAGAGCAGGAAACGCCTGACGCTGTCGTCCAATCAGAGGCTGAGCTTCATCACAACTTTAAGGTGAAGTTCATTCAGATGTTAGAAAACGTCAGGTCAGATGTCATCGACACAGAGAAGAACACAGAACGTTGGTAGAGGCTGTGTCGGTGTTCTGTCCTCCTGCCTCCCCCTCCATCACCTCCTCCTCCTCCTCCTCCTCAGGCCCTTCATCAGTACCTGACCGGTCGACTGACCCTGGATCTGTCTCAGCTCCTCAGACTCCAGACTCTTGTCTTCTGCTCTCAGTCTGACGACTCGGCGTCGTTCACTCTCAGCTGGTTGGCCGTTTCTCCCTCTCTGGTTCTGGTTGTCCAACCGGTCCGACCCGTTCCCATCATTCCCACGGCTCTGGTGAGGAGCCTGACCAGTGTGGGGCGCCCTCTGCAGCCCGTCGCCAGCCGTCAGAGAGGGTGAGGTCACGTTGCGGTTGACCTCCAGAGGCGTTAACTCTTCTGCCCTGGTTCTGATGGACTCTAATGTGTTGGTGCAGGTTCCTGACCATGGACCAGAACAGGAAGCTGCTGCTGCTGCTGGAGTCTGATCCCAAAGCTACGACGCTGCCACTGGTCGGACTGTGAGTCAGAACTGAGCCACGTTTAATAAGTCGATAAAACTAACTGGTTCTCCACTTTTCTATATAAAGACCAGTCAGACTGTAACCAGCGCCACCTCTGGTCAAACCAAACACACATGTCAAATCCTCCTGTTTCACTGTTACTACTTCAGTTCTTTATATCTGCTAACTCAGCAGTACTAATGTAAGAAAAACAGCCTGATATTTCCATTACTATAGGAGTATGTTATACTGTACTGTACTTGTGTACTCTGTACTGTACTAATATATATATATATATGTGTGTGTGTGTGTGTCCTGACAGCTGGCTTAGTGGAGTCACACACATCTACAACCCTCAAGTTTTCTCCTGGTGCCTCAAGTTCCTGTTTAGCTCCGCCCTCCATGACAGGTGAGCCCGCCTCCTGACAGCTGTTTCCTGGTCATGTGACTTTCTGATCAGGGTCTCTTCTTGTTCTTCTTCTTCTTCTTCTTTCCAGAGTTTTGTCAGAAACCGGCTGCTTTCTCTTGGTTCTGTTCGCTGACACTCACAGAACTCCTCAGTTCTTCCAGTGTCGTCCGGCTCCTGGATCCACTCCAGGTCCTGAACCTAGTTCTGCTTCTGGACCTGCACCAGGGCTCCAGCTGGACTGTGAGCTGCGGAGTGCTGTCCAGTGTGTCACTCTCTACCAGGTCAGTTCTTTCATCGGTTCTTCTGCAGTTTGACTCCTTCTCTTGTGGACTGAAGTGAAACTTGTGGAACAGCAGGTGGCGCTGGTGGAGAGTCAGATTCTGCAGTGTGAGCTGACAGTAGGTCGGGGACCACAGGTGGAGATCTTCAGGCAAGCGCAGAGCTCCTTCAACAGGTACGGCCCAGGACCTGACCCGTGTCTTTGGTTGGACCTGGATCTGATGGACTCATCTCTCTCTCTCTCTCTCTCTACCTCTCTTGCCCCTCCCTCCCAGCGTTCCTCCTTCTGGTCCAGGTCTCTCTGTCAGTGATCAAGACTCTGGGGTTGAAGATGAAGACTTGTCTCCACGTCCGTCCCCGAGTCCTCATCTTCATGCTCCACAGGTGAGTCCGCACCTGCAGTTGAGGGACAACTCCAGAGGGAGGTGCTAAAGGACATCATCTTTTTCCTCTCAGTCTCGTAGAGTCCAGCCGTCTGTCCCTGAACTGTCTCTGCTGATGGACAGGAGCTTCACCTCCCATCAGCGGGACTCTGGCTCCACCCACAGACCTCCTCCAAACACCTCCTCGTCCTCCTCCACTCCAGCTTTAAGACCTGACAGGAAGTGTCCTCCACAGCGAGCAGGGAACGCTTCCTCCTCTTGTTCCTCCTCTTGTTCCTCCTCCTCCCGATGCCCTGGCCATGCTCCTCTGACTCCTCCTCCACGCCTCCACAGCACCCCCACCACTCAGCAGCCCCAGCCCTGCTCCTGTTGCCACGCCCACTCTTGTCGGCCCACCGGCATCTACCCCTCCCCCTCCCTCCCAACTCCTGTCCAA